GGGGGTCATTTTACAAAGACATCATCAAATACTTTTTTAACAATCAAAAGATCCAGATTATATATGTTTTCATTTAACTCATGGAATACCATCTCAAATCCACTGGATTTAAATTCAAACTCTGGCCGCTCAGAAAGAAGATCTCCCGAACACGGTGAACACGCTCGCTTTCATCAGCACTTTGTTAAAGTCCGCATTAGTTAAGATTCATCTTCCAAAAGAGTATTTACAGACGATCAAGTAACTACAAACACTGTCGACGCGGGAGGAGGGGGGGTCGAGACCCTGCCAGCTCCCAACACTGGCAGCGGTGAACGGAGGAATGTACAGTGGCCCAACGCGTGGCGGGAGAATCACGCTATGTCTGTCCTCGGATGACCTCAGACCATGCTGACGCCGGAGCATTTGAATGCGGTGCAAATGACACCTGCAAACAAAGCATTGGGAGAGCGTGTGTGTGTGTTTCTTTGAATGCGTGTGACTGTCCTAGTTTCGGAGATTAGGGACTCAACAGAGCGCTAAGGGGAAAGGCACGTCGTCGTATGACGGAACAAAGCAGTCAGAGAGGCTCACCCTGTGGGATATGACACCCTTTTTATTCCCTGCGATGCAAAAACAGCGTCCAGTTTCACAGTATGTAAGACAGAGACGCGACAGACAAAGGTCAAATCATGTTTACATAATCAAACGGAAGAATTTTGGAGCAATATCGACCATTTCAAATCAAATTAGAAATGGTGGCTGATATTAAAGCTGAATGAAAAAGCTCCACAAGATAATGAAGACTCTCAAAACAGGTCACTTTAAAACAGACCCGTCTGTGGTAGACATTTAGAAATATCTGCATTTTCCCATTTTGTGCTGAAATCTCAGTAAACACAATTTATTCGTTTGACCCACGTCGTGCACGCACGCACGCACGCACGCACGCACGCACGCGCGCACGCACGCACGCACGCACACACACACACACACACACACAGGAGATGAGAACCGAGACAAAGACAGCGAAAGCAAGTGGATTTTACAAAATATACAGGTAGGAAAGGGACCGTCTGTCCGTCAGCTGCAGTCCGTACCAGCAGACTGACTGATGGACTCCTTGAATTCTTTGTCCCCACGAAAATGTTTTTGATTCCAGGCTGCGTTAATCCTCCGGATTCAAACGGAGCGCAGCGACCAGTCCGTTCACTAGTAGCTGCAGTCCGGCGGCCCGGTGACGAGGCGTCTCTCTCTACGTGAGCCTGTAGAGAGTGCTGAGGGTCTGGGTGATGAAGTTGAGGAGTCCTCGGCAGGCGTCCCTCCAGTCCTGCCATTGGGGGGCGGCGTGCTGTGAAGGGGGGGGCGGCAGACAGGAAGAGATGTCACTCCAAACTAGAATTACCACAAAATGCCATCACTTCATTGTTTTATCCTGAAGAAACGCTCTCCAGGAGAAAGGGACGTAATTATAGAAGAACGACTCGAGGACATAATGCCTGATGAATGCACGGATGTTTAATAAAACGTGTCTGATTATTCATTATCTGACCTTTTTTGAGGCGCGCCTAGATGCTAAAAAATGCGCATTTATTGACTTGACCTACAAACGAGCTCACACGCTGAGATGGACTTGTGATCATGTGATTGCAACTTCATGCAAGTCAATGCTGTGTCCTTTTGTCCCTGTCGCCAAATGTGAAGCAGCAGCTAAGAGAGACAGTTTAAAATCTATTTAGATATCTACGAACATGTTGGAAGCTTTATCTGTGTTTAACCTCTGACCTCTGAGCAGTTTCGGGGCGTTTTTTGCTTAAGTCACATTTTACCCTCTGTGGCCTTGATATTCACTGCAATATATAATACATGTCCTGCACCTCTGTGGAAACAGCACACGCATGGCTGGAAGTAGAGAGAACTCAAACATGTCGTTTGTGCAGTATAACACAGTTATAATGCCATAAATCATAAAAAGGACAACAACAAAAAAAGCAAGTTGAATTTCTTTGATAATTGATTTTACAAAAAAGTGTTGCCACCGTTAGAGGCTCCACGTGCTCTATAAATATTGAACTGTTCACATGTTTTACAACCTCTACTCTCCTGTAGCTCTGTGTTCAGCAGCGTACAGTTCTGTTGACGTTTCATAGAAAATCTTTGTCACGTGACTGTTGGTCTCAGCCGAGTCAGACATGGCTTCTCAATTGCGCTGAGGAGTGCAGAATTTTATGTTGTTTTTTTTTACAGTATGTGGTTTTAGCAAATACTTTAAATGAGACATGAAATATCACAATTTTAGGCTTCGTTTTGGCTGTTTTTCTGCCGGAGGCGCTCGTCACACATGATGTGTTCGAGGACCGTCGGCAAGATGAAAATCTGACAATAATGTCGTGTTTTACAGCTTGTGGCTTTGGTAGACGGTGTAGTTTTGGCGATTGTTTAAAGGTGTTTTTCTTTTCTCCCGTTCTTGGGGTTCAGAGGGTTTAACGAGTTTTACTGTTCTCACAGGTCTCACTCGCAGAGCTGTCTGAGCTGCTGAGGCATTTCTGAACACCAGCCACATGTAAAAAAACAAAAAGGATCGTCTGAAAACAACATAATGACAACCTGGGCGGAGAGGGGAAAAAAAAAGAAAAGCGTATTATTTGATTTCTCGTAAAGCCAGAGGAAACATGATGTCATGCTCGGGGAGAGGAGTGATGGAGAAGTAGCAGGAGAGAAAGAGCGACTGCATGTCTGCATGGTGGGGAATTATGAGCAACACACAACAGCTTGAACGAGAGGATAAACAAGTGTGTGTCTGTGTCAAAAGATGCTGCTCTGAACCTCTCACGTGCCTGTGGTTAACCCCCCCCTCCCCCCCTCACAATCTCCATCCCTCCTTCACTCGCTCCTTTTGTTTCAAACTGCTCCTTTTAGAAAAAGTGCCTGGCTGTGCTTTCGGCCCCGGCCCGGGTTGTAAACAACACACACAATTTACCCAAATTCCCCTCGGGGAATACAGTATCTGTCTGTCTGTCTGTCTTTGTCACGCACGCACGCGCGCACACACACACACACACACACACACACACACACACACACACACACAC